TATTTATTTCATTTACAAGGATCATTGATTACAATTATAAATCATTACTAAAATCAATAAGTATATCAAATGCATAAGTATTCATAATAATGTTGAAAACATAATAATTATTTAATAGTTATAAAATAATATAAACACATGTCACTGTAAGTCACAATAGATTAGACTTAATTATATTATATTAATTATATTATATTAACAAAATCACCAATACTAAAAGAATCTGCTGAAACAGGTGTATTCAAGACTCTTTTGAACTATCTATAAAGTATATATCTATGAGAACTAGCATAGAAAACCTAATCTATTAGTATTGTATATCTGTTAATATAATATATGTAATATTAGTCTATTTTTAATTTTATCAATATGTAATATAGCACGACAGGGTAATATGGTCATCCGGTTAATATGGTCACTTTCTTATAACTCAAAAACTACAGCCTTGTTTGCATAGATGGCTCTGTGATACGATAGCTCTTCATCAGTAAATCAAATAATAAAGGGTTGAAAGGGCGCTGCTTTATCGACGCCATTTTGACAGTTGACATTATGGTAAAAGTTTTAGTTGATTTTTCTGGTAGTGGTTAGTTTTTTTTAAGTTGGTCTTTCGTAGTGTTCCTAATTATTGCCAAAGCTTGGGTATATTTTTTTCTTAATATATTAGTTATAGTATACGACTTCGTATTTTAGTCTCTCACCTCCTCCTAGTTTTAGTTTTATAGGGGCGGCAAAGCTAGGGATCATATTACCCTCACGTACCTTATTTTATTTTTTATTTTTGGCACCTACCACATTATTTAAACACGGGAGTATTTGATTTGGTTGACTGAAACATAATGCCAAAACGCATTAAGTCCGCCCTTTATAGTTTTTTTTTTACGAAGGTGTACAATAAAGTATTAAAAAATATCTGAGGATAAAGCATCATTATGTCGTTTCTTATAGTCACCTATTTCACCACCCACAAAAGGAAGTAGGTACACCCTATTTTCTGACGCTTTTACTATAAATTGTTTTATTTGGATGGAATGAGGGCTTAATCTTACGCCCACCAGATGTCGCTAGTAAGGTGAACTTATTTGTTGAGTAGATGTCACATCACATGATGACACTGTGATCAATGAAAAGTTGAGATTAACTAAATTTTTTTATAGGATAGGGTGACAAACGAGCACACAGTCCACCTGATGGTAAGTGGTTGCTGTGGCCCATAGGCATCCACATCTAATCAAAACGCAGATGCGTTGTCAGCCATGAGGACTGAGATGGAATGCTTCGTTTCCAATACAAAGAGTCTCCGGTTCTCCACACTCACCATGCGCAACACAGCAGTATTAAGCTACTATTTTTGATGCTATCCTGTGAGAGCGTGGACCTCCCCAGGTCGAACCGACTCATTCATGCAACAACTATGCTACTAATATAACTGCAGCATGGCTCTACCACGTATAAAAAATTATAAGTTTTTCAGTGTCTAGTGTATGTAACACTAGACACTGAAAAACTTATAATTAAAGGAAACAAAACAATGCAATTAGGCATTGTTTTGTTTCCTTTAATTATAAGTTTAGTAGCTGTATTTTTTAAATTGTTTTTAATAATAATAATAATATACTTAATTTGCATGAAACATGGTTTAAATGTTGTTAACATGTACGAACGAGCGCTCAAGTTTTGCTTATTTAACATAGCACGCAAATATTTTTTAACCAATGTCTCTAAATTGCTTAGAAAATATTTGCAGCTATTTTAAATACAATTGGTCACATGATTTAGTTAAACAGAAAATATGGAGAAATAAAAATGTCACGTGTGAGCATCGTCAATTTCAATATAGTAAAAATTTGCATAACTTAATTAATTGTAACTATACTATAACAATAATAATTAAACGAAATTTAAAGATATTAGGTAATATAATATAATATAATTGGCAAAATTCTGCCTATTAGATTAAAAATTATTAAATTAAATATTAATATCTTTATTATAATGGATTTCCGCAAAGTAACGCCTGAACAATGTAGTGTTTAGGGTTTTAAGTTCCTCAGGTTGCAGTCCAGGCACACAGAGGAGATGCCTGGGAGCGGCGCATATGGAAGGCGGAAGAGCACGATGCGTCGCTCTACAAACTGAACCGGCAGTTAACTAAAGCCAAACCTCCCGTTTGCCCGCTGACCAACAACGCGGGCGAACGTCGTTACGATGCCAAGGGTAGAGCGGATATCCTAGTCGAGCACTTCGAGGAGCAATTTATGCCGAACCCAGCAAGTGCGGAGTTCTTGGAGCTTCATGCCCAAAAGGAGAGTCGCGTACAGGAGTTCCTGTCGTCGCCCGCGCCGCCTCTTGCAGGAGAGTGGTTCATCTCCCCCACTGAACTGCGGTGGACAGCAACCCGCCTGCAATCGAGGAAGGCGCCGGGGCACGACGGGATTACCAACGCTGCACTCCGACAGCTGCCCCATAGAGTCCTAGTAGAGCTTGGTCGACTCTACAATGGGATACTGCGGACATCCCACTTCCCGGAGGACTGGAAGAAAGGCAAAGTAATCGTCTTGCCGAAACCCGGGAAGGACAGGCGTAGAGCTGCCAGCTACAGGCCGATCACGCTGCTACCACACATAGCTAAACTGCTTGAAAGATTGTTGCTAAGACGCCTCCGCCCGTGCATCCAACTTCGGGCGGAGCAGCACGGATTCAGGAGGGGTCACTCTACAGCAACACAGCTGACCAGAGTGCTGCACCTGCTTGCGGCCGATTACAACCGTGGCCGCACCACGTTGGGCGTCTTTCTCGATATCGAGAAGGCGTTCGACAGGGTGTGGCATTCTGGATTACTTTTTAAATTGGAAGAACAGACCAGTGTCCCTCCTGCTATGTTGCGGCTAGTGGCGTCTTTCCTGGCAGACAGGAAGTTCTACGTCTGCGTAGAGGGCGCCGAGTCCGCAACCAGAACCATCAGAGCCGGCGTTCCTCAGGGCAGCTGTTTGTCTCCAGTCCTGTACGCGGCTTATACCAACGACATCCCTACCCTGGCAGGCAGGCTGCAAGAATGGGAGGACGACGTGGAATTGGCGTTATATGCGGACGATAGCGCTTATTTCACCTCTTCCAGAAGAGCCCATATTGCCGCTGCCAGGATGCAACGCCTCCTGAACCTGTTGCCACCATGGCTAGATGAGTGGAGGATGGTCGTCAACGTTGGTAAGACGACCGCTCTGCTCACTCGCCGCCTCAGGAACCTACCACCTCAATTAACCCTCAATGGCCAGCAGATCGCGTACGAGAAGGCCGTGACCTACCTTGGGTGCCGGATCGACCGGGCGCTGCGCATGACTGCGCACGTCGACCTCGTAGTCCGTAGAGCACGATGTGCGCGGGCGATGCTACGTCCGGTCCTGGCATCCAAGCTACCACTTAACACCAAAGTGCGAGTATATAAAACCTACATCAGAGCCATTATCACCTATGCTGCTCCGGCCTGGTACGCGCTTCTGAGCGAGCCTCTGAGACGGCGACTGCAGGCCCAGCAAAATATGGCGTTAAGAACCATCGTCGGTGCGGGTCGCTACGTCCGGAATGACGTCATAGCGGCCAACCTGAAGATCGACACCATACAGGAATTTGTGGCCCGGTTGGCGCGCGGACTGTTCGACCGTGCAGACAACGGGCCGCATATACACCTTAACAACTTTGCGCCGCTACACACTCGCCCTCCGGACGGGCGACCCTATCCAAGAGAACTCCTCTCTATATCGATTAGAGAGTCGAGTAACAACCCTCAATGCCGCTGAAAGGCCAACTCCGACATCATTAGATAACCTCCTTTTTTCGTAGTCATAACCGACTACGAAAAAATTACCGATAGCGACAATCGTTTTTGACACCTACAACGCCATTAGAAGGCTCCCAGGACCGGTCCATAATAGTGGACCGCGAGGACAGCACGGGTAATGGGGGCTTACCCCGAGGCCCGAAACCTCCATGTGCCTACACATGAAGAAGACATCAACGTTCCTCAGGTAGTTTGTTATACCTATATTCGGACACACATGGTTAGGCAAACTTATTTTTTTTACTTTAAGGTAGTAGTTTGGTTTCATTTCTAATTTACTTAATTCATATGATATATAACTAGCCTATACCTACATGATATAATAAATCTGTAGAAAAATTCTGTGTTCGCGATTCACGGAAAAACTACTGGGCGGATTTCCACAAATTTTTGTACAAAAGCAGTAAATGACCGTGTATAACATATAAGTATTTTTATCCATTTACTAAAGAGTAAATAAAAGGGTTATGTTTCGACATTTTTTTTTTAAATTTATTGTCATTATGACTGCTGATGTTTCTATTTGTCTTAAACGTACAGCTATACGTACAGGTAATTAATCTACAGAAAGGTGTGTGTGTGTGTGAAAAAAAAACTCATCGTGATACCAGCCAAAAAGGGCAAAACAACTTGTGTTGGCCCGGTACCAACTACATACAACACTCACGCATGTCACTTAGAGGGGTAGGCAGAGACTACATACTTCCATTTAGCACGATCCTGCCACACCTCTCTCGCCTCCTTCACATCCTAATACCTACGCATACATGCTCGTCGGTTGAGGATACTCTTAATTAGGCGCATTTTCAATATATCGCCAATTTAGTCGACAAACTTTCGCCCAGGACGTCCCTTTCCGACTCTTCCATTCACTCTGCAACATCACTCTTTCCTCATTCATTCTTTCTACATGACCAAACCACCGAAGCATTCCTTTCTTCGTCACAACATCGTTTTGCAAACCACACTCTTCTCTTATCACACAATTTCTCACCCTGTCATTCAGATGCAGCCCTAACGTAGGTACTCCTTAGCGACCGCATTTCTACTGCATGATGCGAACTGTTATTTCTAATGAATTAACTTCCCTCGTTATTTGTCAAACATTTCACCTCATTTCTATGTGACGTTGTAGACTGTTTTCCCATCCAAAACTACTCACCTAGTGTAATCCCGCTTGCAATATGTCTTCCCGTCTCTCACGAAACAGGTGCAGGACTCGTCGAGAAACTGCCTGCACTCCTGGCACTTGAGGCAGGCCGCGTGCCACTCAAGGTCCGGCGCGACCCTCAGGATGTACTGGTCGTGGATCTGACCGCCGCAACCCACGCATAGGGAGAGCCGGAGCTTTTCTGTGGATAGGAGTTTCCAGTTACTATGGCTTTATGGACTTGAACGTGAACTTCATTGTATTAAAGTATAAGTTTGTATGATACAGGTTACAGGAGATAGGCAGCACCTTCCTATTGATAACGACTTAAGGTGATACCTCGAAAGTTTGCTGCTTTTTCTATTATACATATTTCTTTATGTTTTATACCATTTTTGGTTTTATTTTTGACTATATGACTTATTGCATAAATGGAAAACACGATATCATGTAATTTTCTCGACAGAAAAAAAACACTGTAATAGGTTCTAATTAGCTATATTTCTCCGTGCCACCACAACATTTTTACGAATAAGTCTATGGAAATATTTTAAAGGTTAGTAAATAATCATATCTAAGTTTTTTGAAAATAAAAATAAAAATGTTGTTTGATAATGATCATATAGGAAACTAATGAAATTACTATTTTTCGGATAAATTCCTAAATTGTATTTTTTTTGAGCTTACTTAGTTTTTTTTTTGTATAACTATCTCTTAATTTGCGTATTATGAAGTAATTCTATCATTGTTATCTTGACACTCCCTCAGTCGTCCGTGAGTTTCACCGACAAAGAGCTAAGCGACGCCTCCAAAACTGCCATTTATTTTGCAGGGATCCTCTTAAAATTTAAAATAAAACACTGCGGTTGCCAACCCACTTACCAAGCGTGGCAACTGTGGCAGAATCAGTATAAGGCAACCTATGTTCAACAGTGGGCCTTATAAGCTGTACTGGATGGATGGATACAGATTATTTTAGTGTTCACATACGTACAGAGTAGGTATACACATTACACATACAGCATGTAAAAATTTGTTTCACTGATCGAAAAATAGTATTGAAATTAATTTTCAATATTTTATTTTTATAGAATAAGAGTCATAAACGAGCACACAGTCCACCTGATGTTAAGAGGATGCTGTTGCCCATAGACGTCTCATTTATGCTCGATTACGAATCAAAATGCAGATTAGTTGCCACCGTTGAGGACTAAGATGGAATGCCTCGTTTCCAGTAAAAAAGGTCTCAGGATCTCTACATTCACCATACAAAACATAGCGGCATAGAGCTGCTATTTTACGCTGGTATTCTGTGAAAGCATGGTTCTTCCCCGGTCGAGCCGACCCATTCGTGCTATAACCATAATATAGCTGAAGCATGGCTCTAACACGTATAAAATACTTCAATAAGTTCACTTTTTCACTCAAATTGAACACAGAGACCCATATCTCGTATGATTAAATGATTGTCATACACCTAAGTAGTAAATATTATATGTTATTTTACTTTTTTGTAGGATACGAGTGTCAAACGAGCACACAGGAAACCTGATGGTAAGTAGAAGCTGTAGCCCATAGATATCTAAATCTACCATTCACTATGAATCAAAACGCAAAAGCGTTGTCACCCTTGAGGACTAAAATAGTATTCCGAGTTTCCAGTAAAAAGGTCCGTTCTCTATAATCATCACACGAGACTCAGCAGCATTAATTAATTATATAAGCCTAATAAGCTGCTATTTCACGCTGGTATTCTGTGAGAGCATAGTCTTACCCTGGTCGAGCCGACCCATTCGTGCTACAACCATAATATAACTGTAGCGTGGCTCTACCACGTATAGATAATTCATAATACTATCCATATAAATTAGTAAGGCATAATATAACATAAAAAGATAAACGAATCCCACGCAAGGCCTTTGAGGGACAATTAGAGCAGAATTAAAAGGAAAAAAAGGTAATTCGGCGAATTAAAAGCAAAGTAGAAGGCGGATAACAAAGGAATTATGAATAAATTATACTCTGGGGCAAAATCGATAACTTTTGTGGGCGTGTCATGTTAAGCCCCGCCCTGGCGGCATATCAAAAGGGATGTATACACGTCTCTCTTTAATCACTATCTCTTTCGCTCTTGCGGTTAAAATGAGGTAGTCGGGTGGTTAGTGTTTTTGAGTTAATTGATTAAACGGATGTAGACGCCGCGCCGGCTGTCAATGTATGTATATAAACAAAACAGATTTCCTTGTCTGTTTTTAATTTAGATGTATTATAATGAAGATTATTAGATCGACACAAAAATTAATATTTTTAAAGATGAAGAAATCATGGATGTATTGTCATGAAGTCAGAACATAAAGCATCCACTTACTATAAGGTGGACTCGTTTCTCATCCTTATTCTATAAAAATACACTCCAGCTTAGTAGGTGTCATGAGATCATAGTTTATAATTATATATACCTATACTAGAGAAATAAGACTGCTGTACTTCCATTTTATTATCTTATATTGTATATTATAATCTGTGCCACCTTAGCTGTAAATAAACATTTTTCATTCTTAAATAATCATCTAACTTATAATGTTCTTTGTTCAAAAGAATTCTTTTTACAAGCGCTTTGAACAAACGCAAAGGCAAATCATCATAAATATACAAGGGTGGATTGAAAAGTACTCGGCCTAACACAGATCCATTCAATTCTAAAAATCAAATCTACCCACATTATTTAGTTCAGTTCAGACTAGTTCATTGTGTGAAGTTCGAAACGTGTGCGATAATTAGTTGTGATTTTATAAATTTATTAACAAAGTAATCGGACATAATTTCCGCGAATGGAGCAAATCGAGCAGCGTGCCGTCAATAAGTACCTCCATAAGAAGGGGCTATCATCAAAAGCCATCCATGATGACATGGTCAGTACATTAGGCGATTGTGCTCTGTCATATTCATCCGTCAAAAAATTGATAGCAGAATTTAAGCGTGGTAGAGAGAGTGTGAAAGATGAACCCCGCTCTGGAAGGCCTTCGACGTCAACTACTGACGAAAATATTAAAAAAAGTACTTGATTTAATAATGGGAGACCGCAGATTAAAAATTAGAGTGATAGCCGAGATTATAGGCATCTCTTATGAACGAACTCAAAACATCATTGTCAACGAGTTGGGTTTCCACAAGGTGTCTGCGAGGTGGGTTCCGCGACTGCTTTCAGTTGAACAAAAAAGGAACGCGATTGACTATTTCACGCGACTGTTTGGAGTTATTTGAAGCCGATGCAGATGATTTTTTGAATCGTTTTGTTACTATGGACGAAACATGGGTTCATTACTGTACACCGGAAACAAAAGAACAATCAAAACAGTGGAGAAGACCTGGTTCACCACCCCCTAAAAAGGCTAAGTCGATTTTGTCGGCAAATAAGGTGATGGCTTCAGTATTCTGGGACTCGAAAGGTGTGATTATGATTGATTATCTTGAAAGGGGTCAGACTATAAGCTCTGATTACTACTGCACCTTACTACGTCGTTTACGAGAGGAAATAAAAGAAAAACGTCGAGGAATGCTCAGAAGAAAAGTCCTGTTTCATCAAGATAACGCCCGTGTTCACACGTCAGTACAGTCAATGGCTGAAATTCACAACTGTGGCTTTGAACTGTTACCGCATCCGCCGTATTCACCTGATCTGGCACTATCAGACTTCTTTCTGTTCCCTAACCTAAAAAAGCACTTGGGAGGTCAAAGATTTTCGACAAACGACGAGGTCAAAGCAGCTGTAGACGCATATTTTGACTCTAAGGAAGAATCATTTTTTTTCAACGGTCTAAATGCTTGGAAGGGGAGGTGGCAAAAGTGTATTGAACTTGATGGTGATTATGTAGAAAAATAAAAATATAACTGATTTAGTATGTGTTTATTTTCTTGGTTAGGCCGAGTACTTTTCAATCCACCCTCGTACCTAAAATGAGTAGTTTATTTTATGATAGTTCTGTTTTATTCTAAGCACTTCTGTAATTTTGAACAATAAATTTAGATTTACTGCTCGTGTTATAATTATGGGCGTCATTCATTTTGTCAAAGGTATTAAAATAGATCTTTACATAATATATTATGATATTGTCAAAAATGAATTGTGATGCGACAGTTAGGCTTTTGTCATTATATATGTTACAGTCAAAACTCATAATCGGTCAAAACCACTTTTGACTGCAAAAGTCCGGCAAATGTAGTCTTGACTAATATTCTTGGTCAAAACCACTTTAAACCGATATACTTTGGTCAAAATTATTAACGTTACTAGTGAAATATTAACCAAGAATGTTAGTCAAAACTACTTTTAACTGGTACCTATATTTTTTTTATAATTTGAGACTTATTCGTATATGATTAGGCTTTGCGTCGAATAAAACATTACACCAATCTTGCAATACCAGTGACAGAAGGTTAACCTAACCGGGTTAGGGTATAGCCGCGTACATTATAATGATATCGTTAATCTTAAATAGATTAAAATATAATATTCAAAGAATTTAACTAGAACTTTGGTCAAAACGTTTGATAAAGGGTATATAGACTATTCGTCAAAAGCATTTTAGATTTTTGGAATGTCCCGAAATCAAAGTGTTATAACTATTTTAAAGTAATGATGAGGTTCCATTAAGTACTTTAAACATGAAGGTTGGTTTTTTAAACAGCGGAGGAGGAGGTAATTCGCCGTAAATTTGACCTGCACCAATGAAATTCTGATATATCAGGTGCCCACGGTGAAGAAAAAAATAATAACGCTTAAAATAGTCAAAAAATCAAATCATAAACCATTTCATCATCATCCTCACGTCATTGCCTTTCCCTTTTTTATTAAGCCCTGAGTCAGATGAAGCTGTAAGAGTCGCATAGACTAACAGCGCTAGCATTCAGAAAATAGAGGTGAAGAAAACATCGTGATGAAACTGCATGTGTAAGGAACCCCGCTGCCAGGAAATCCACCTTTATTTTAAAATGATGTCTGGATTTTTTTAACCGACTTCAAAAAGGAGGAGGTAGATACTCAATTCGACTGTATGTTTTTTTATGTGTGTTCCCTCAGAACTATTTTCTAGGTAAATCGATTTTGATGATTCTTTTTATTTGAAAGCTCTTACAACACGTAACACGGCACGTACACGGCACGTATGTACACGGCGTAACACGTAACACGGCTTCTCGTGT